TAATTAGAGTTTCATTCAAAAACATAAATTCTAATTGTTAATGATTTATTTTACATTTTATTTTTAGTTTAGCAGAGGGATACTCTGGCAAAGACTTAAATCAATCACACAGGAACAATAACCTCTGACATCAAACATTGCACACTGCAATGTACATATACACTCATATTTACCCGCATATTTATCTAGTATTTATTATTTATTATCTTGTTTTTGCACTAACTTCATTGCTCCTTTGACCCATCCAACACTTTTTAACTGTATATATATTTATATGTATATTTATATTTATATGTATGTACCAGTCAATGTAAAACCAGAGACCACATACTTGGCCAATAAAGCAGATTCTGATTCTGTCATCCCTGGATAATAGCCGGTCGATGAAAGCTCCTGTTACATCTGCGTCGATGTGTTTAATTTGTTCTGTGTATCTCCCCTCCTCTTCCTCACTTCCTGCGGAGCTCCTCTCCCTCCTTTTTATTTTTTTTGTTTCTCCATAAATCCTTCAGGTCATTTGTCCCTCCTGCCAGGACACACAGACACTCAAGGCCAGCTCTGCTTTTGGTCCACTCCTCTGCTTCCCTCTCATGTCATGTCCTGTGCTACATTGGGATGTTTACAGGAAACCCAACAGTGTTTTTTGCCCCATTAAACACCCTCCATAAATTAATGCCTCGCCGAGGAATGAGGCTGACCTTGCACAATTGCATCAGGCTGCATCTGGTTCATGTAGGCTCGTTGGAAAGTACACAGATCGTCTGAATCATCTGCACCGGGAGGTGAATTACAGGCAGGGTTCACACTCTGCTGAGTGTGACGTTTTGATGCTCCCGATCGGATTAATGTTACGTTAACTTGCACCGGAGACTCCTGTGGTTTATGGCTGTGACTTGTTGCACAGATGCTGACAAACATGGAGAAGCGGCGTCAGATAATTATGAGCTGTTGATCTGCAGAATCAAGTTTCTCTGTTGAACGAAGCTACGAAGATAAAGTCGACCAGATCAGCTGGGTGTAGGTTTGGTTGCAGAGGTGGAATAAATCAATAATAATTGTAGCATGACTGCATGAATAAATAAACAGATAAAAATGTCACGTGATCCTCAGGATTGTTAATGCACCAACCACTTAAATCACTTCATAGACCTGGGGACAAAACACCTTAATTTAAGATTTTCTTTAAACTCTGAGTTAAAGTTTCCTTAAAAGAAAAACAGTTACAAGAAAAAACCATTAAGTTTCATCCTTAAGATTTCCTTAAAATGTTCACTAAAATATTTATGGCTTTCTCCTTATATTAGCTTTATACTTAGGGAATCAATTACAGTCAGTTTGACCGAAGACCTTTTCCTTTTCCTTTCCAAAGTAAGGAAAAAAAACAACTAAAGGTTCCTCTGACTCTGTCTTAATTTGCCGAGTTCATGGCAATAAATGAAGAAAATGAGGATGTGTTCTGGACCAGGAGACAAACTTAATGATGCTTTCACTGCTGAAAGTGCCGTAACTTTTTTCCTTAACTAAGGAAGTCTTTGAAGAGTTTCTGTGCAACCTCCTTAAGTAATTCCCTCAGCTGAGGAGAAATGAAACCTTCGGTGTCATGCTGATACTTTATGATAGATGTGTTTGCATTTTAGCACAAACTGAGTGCGGCTGATGGTTGATTGGTGGTTGATTTATCTTTGATTGGTGTCTCTGATTTCAGACTCTTGTTTAGGAGAATATCTTTTGTAAATATAAATTCAATTTTATTTTTATTAATTTTTAAGTGGGAATGCTTATTTCAGCCCTGAGTAGAGTTGTAGGTCCTTTCAGGTCACCTTTGGATCACACCTCCACCTGTGAGGTAGAGCTGTTTGTTGCCTGAGAGGAAAAATCCAGGGTAAAAAAAAACAAAAAACTAAAACTAAATATCCGTGCTAAGCCCACAGCTCTGAACACATGGGGATGATCAAAGGCGACTCAGACAGGCATATCAACATTGTTATCAACTCCTCTCTGTGCCGCATCCGTATCATGGAGGCTGAACCATGAAATGACAACGTGACGATGTTCAGAGACATTTTTAATATGAAATTCAACCTGAAGCTATAAAAGTTAGATACAATAATGAAAAATGTCCCTGCCGTCCCCAGTGGAAATCACGCCCTTGTATCTGGTCATGCAGATCATTTGAATTTCATCCGCAGACACGTTAAGATATTTATCCATGAGATTTCTGCCACCACTCAGTACGGTGGAATCTGATGTGGATGTAATTTAAATTTGAGGTGCTCGGAGGTTTTAGAAAGAAATTACTTTTAAACTCACCAACAGCAGCACGCCGCCTCAGAAACAACATCCTGGTTACGTCTCTGTGATGCTCAGAGCTCAAAGTTTTATTGGAGCTCCTTTTTTTCAGGAGGAATATTCCCCATGAAAGAAGTCGGCAGCGCGTTGAGAGACTTGTACGGAGAAACTGAGACGCTTCCTGGAAAAATGATGCTGTTGCTGAATATTAAAATTTCATTTTTCAACACTTTTGTGCATCACAAATAAAACGGCATTCACGTCTGAAATCTTAAATCACTCAAATCAAACCAAACCTGTGCATGGATAGATGCAGTTATTTGCAACATGAGTGATATTTGCCTTTAGAGACATTCTTGCCACTCGTCCTGGGGGCTTCATAAATCGTATGTATGTACAGTGACTCGGCTCTGACTCATGTCGTGGATGAATTTCACAGTGGGAGTCAGAGTAAAGAAATAAATACTGAACTGTGCCCGTACACATACACATGTGTGTCCAACCAAACGATGAGGGGAGTAAACGTAAGAAACCCTGAGTCAGAACGGTCGGAGCCATTCTTTTCTGCTGCATCATATTCTTCCAGGAACACTGTCCCCCTCCTCACCCCCACAGTCATTAATGAGTTGGACACAGCCAGAGGTATTTCATCACCTAAACAGGCACATATGTGTTCATTCCTGCACGTAGTACGCCACATCTTCCTTTAAGTTACAGTATTTGATACTTAACTGCCTTTTTAATGGTACAACACTTATTACACATCGAGAGGAATTCAGTTTGTCCACAAACGCCCCCACCCTCTCCGAACACGCCCACTCAGCCTGACCCGGCGGCGGAGCCAGAGAGGACGTCGACTGTCGACTGTGTGCACACGTCAAGTGCAAGAGTGCCCCCTGAAGTCTGCAGCCGAGCAGCCTCTTCCACAGGGAGAGCCACACTGCACTTAACGCTCGCTGATGGCCGAGCACACGCACCCCCACAATTCCTCCCCTCCCCCTCCCCCCTTCCTCCATAGTAAGGTAGTTACTCAACAGGGTTCCTGGCTGGTTATGGATCCTGTCTCACACCCTGCCAGTATAAACCTCACCCCTCGCCCCTCGCCCGGGCTCGAACCCCCCCCCCCCGTCTGACCAAATGGCCCAGGGAAAGCGTCAGGGGAGTGGGCCGGCGGAGGGGCCGTGTGGGCAAACAGCCAAATGAGAACCATATTTCATCGGCGCTCTAACTGAGGCCCTCCGCCTTCCCAGAACACACACGGATCCACAGGGTTGTGTGCAAACATATGCAGATGCATGTGCGTCAAACACACACACACACACACACACACACACACACACGCTCACACGCTCACATATGGGCTGGTCAAGTCACACTATCGGTATTTCAGCCATGACGAGTATGTTGGGACTTTATGATTTGCGTAATTGTAGAAATACTTAAGTGTACTGGAGGTGTTCTTATCGTTGCTTTCGACCAACAGCTGCTGTGCTTCATCACAGTTTGAGCAAACAAACAGACTGTTGTGAAATCCCAGATTTTTCTTTTCTTGTCTCTTCAGATTTTTCTTTTTTACTGTATCAGTCTTTACATTAGACTCTTGTCCGGGGCCGAGTCTTGTTTGCTGGTCTTTGTGTCTGGTTCTAGTGTGAAGATGGCGGGCGTCCCAGTGTGAGCCCCTCTACTCCCCATCTAGCCCCAGCCCAAGGTCTGGAACAGATTACATCTGATATTAAACACATGGCAGCAGTTAGAAAGGAGAAAAGGCGAGAGAAGAAAAAAGTTTAAAAAAAAAACAAAAAAAGAAAAAGAAAAACAGAGTGGATTTGTCAACGAGCTCTCTCCTACCTTCCCTCTCTCTGGGTCCTTAGCCCCTTTTTTCTCTCTTTGTCTCCTGCTCCCTTCAGTTTCAGGTCACCCCCGAGAGCACGCACACGATCACGTCCGCCTGTCAGAAGCAGAGACGGACGTGTCGTCCTTTTATCCAACCAACAGAGTGTCAGTGCTTTTATCAGGGCAGGAAAATTCAGAGAAGACCATCAGAGAGCGAGAAGTAAAACATGATCACAGCTCGAGGTTCAGATACAGGGGACATTTCATAAGAAAGCGTCGCTCTCTGTGAAGTTAATGATGGCGAAGGGTCCTCGGTGACGCTCTTTTGTTTCTTTCATGGAAAAGACTGAAAAGCTGTTTCCAGTTGCTCGTGGCAGATGGTAACAGTCTCACACACATGCCTCGTCTTCAGTCTCCCATCAGAGATGTGGATCACAGTGTTTCATAACCGAGCGGATAATGAGAGAAGGGACTGAGATGGTATCAGGAGGAGCCTCGGCCTCCTCGCTCTGCTGCTGTGCCTCCGACGTAAGGACAGCGCCGAGCAGTCCTCAGGAATGTCGGCGAGCGCGTGTTTAAGGTGGATTGAGAACATTCCTGATGCTCCCTCTGCTAATTTCAGCTTTTTCCTGTGAGGGGTCCCACAGGGGAGTCGCCCACCCCCTCCCCGACCAGCAGCCTCTCGATCACTGAGATGAGCGCTCAATCACGTCCACGCCGTCCCTTCTGTGTTTACGCTCTGAGGCCTGCGGGCTCGGAGCAAACGGCGGGAACAGCAATAGTTGTTTTGTTTTTGTGGAGATAAAAGAATCATCGCACAGCTTCCGCTGTCATGTCCGTCTCCGCGTACTGACCTTTATCATTCTTCTACCTATCAGGTCGCCTGTGGCGCAGACACTGTGGGAGGCCATGCTGACCAGTAAACACAAAGAGGCCGTGATGGAGGTGCGACGGCAGCTGGTGGAAGCAGCCAGTAAGGAGAAGCTGCCCATCAAGATGAGCATGGGTACGATGCAGCGACGTGCACACCTTTGTTTCCCATAAAACACAAATTCACACAAAATACAGAACCTGAAAAAGGTGTGTGTGTGTGTGTGTGTGTGTGTGTG